TGAGCTGCGTAGACCCAGTGGTGAGAATCAAGATGCAGTCAGTAGGTGTGTATGGTAATGCTCGTTCTTTGGTATTAGGGAGAAGGGTTTTGATAGGGGTAGAGGCATCTAGGTATTCTACACCTGAAGATGGTAACTTTTTGTCTATTTTCTCAAGTGGAGAAACTCTCAAAACTCTCTGAAATGCTGTTAATTGGGTAGTTAATAGCTGGAGCTGTGTATTTTAGGGGATTTTTGGCGTGGAAGTCCCCTTCAGAGCTTTTAATGACTTGCATTAGTTACTTCCTTTCCAACGGGGAGGGTCTTTTTGCAGATCTTTCTCATAATCTTATTAATTTACACAATGGGGTTTAGGCCGGAGAGCCAGGGCTGGGTTCTTGCTGCAGGGCAGGGTGAGAAGGGTCCCGGTTAGGATGGGCTGGGGCATCTTCTCCGGCTCTGCCGTGCCGGAGCATTTTCATTGCCCTCTGGTGGCAAGTGCCCCGGAGCCGCCGGCTGCCGGCTCTGCTGTGCCCTGTCCCCGCTGTGCCCGGGGCAGAGCCGCCCTCCCGGCGGCAGAACCCCGCTTAAACCATCCCCGGCTTTCAGTCTGGTTTTCATTCAGCAGCCCCTCCAGCAGAACTGTGTTTCTCCCAACCCACAAGCGTGAGTTAGCATGAGAACCCGAAAGTGAAGCTATGGGATATAGGAAGCGAAACTGATAGTTCAAGATGCGTTGTTGAAATGATGTTCCGAAATACATGGTCTAAGATCTAATTGTAGCTCTCTAATTATTTGCTGTTAGACTTGCCTGAAGGTTTTTATAATGGTTCAGTGATATTAATAGTTTCAGAAACTCGGTGGAGGGAACAAAATAGCAAACAAAGGCTCTGAAAATTAGATGATCTGTTCTTTCAGCTTTAGATGCAATTCCTTTCTTTCCACCAAATAGCTTTCTCTTTATTTCAGGAATCAGTGGTCGGGATACATTTCAGTCATTTAAAACAACCCCACAGCAAAATATTGAGCATGTGTTAAATTCTGGGCTCCCAACCAGCCAAGAATTAATTTCTGGATGAAATGCTGTTGTGTTCCTTTCTGTGGACGGTGAAAGGAAGCGGTGTGTGTGCAAACACACGCCCTGCAGCCCCCTCCTGAGGGGCAATACCTTGCAGACAGTCTGCAGCCTCTCTTTGTTCTCCCCACCCAAGGGGCCAAGGGGGTGAATTCCTGCGTGTGCCTTCCCCGGGCCTGCTGCCCCTCTAATTGTCCTGTTGTCAGAAGGCGTGTGCCTCCCCGAGCCTTATCAGATTCCTCCAAAACCTTGCAAGCAGTTCAGGTGTTGACCCCTTGAGCGCAAACAACTCCGCGCCTGCCTTGGGGCATGGCTTGGAGACCGGGCTTAGTGCTGGGCTGTGCAAACCTGGTGGCTTTGTCTCAGGGATGGAGCACCTGCCTGGGGAGGGGACCCAGGGGCCAGGGAAGGTGAAAGGCTGGCGGGACTCGAAGCAGCAGAAGGGGAGTCCAACAGCTGCTTGTGTCAGCATGAGGATAAGTGCAAGGAGATTAATAGTTATTTAAAGAGCAAATGGGGACACGGCATTCGGCTGTGGCATGCGAGTGTATAAATGCACTGGAATGGCTGCTCCGCTGATAACATTTAGACAGATGGTCCCTGGACTGAAAGGAATGAAAAGGATCTTGGAATATCTGAAGGATATCTTACATTTTAATGGGGCACTTATTTTATTATTTTTGTTTAATTGGATCCCAGGCAGCACCTTCAGCATTTCCAGGCTGTCCTGTCTTGTTAACACTGACCGCTCGTTTGGCCATCTTTCCCCATTAGCTTAAGTGGCCTGGGATTAGAGAAATAGTTTTTAAGTGAAAGCTGAAACACTATTGTTCCGCTGTCTGTGTGTCTGAGCTGGTGTAGGAGACTGTTTTCATCACAGCTGTCTTCTCATCATTTGCTGGTTAGGGAGTGTGTCTGATTATAATCTCTGTGAGGAATGAAACAATTGAATGATACTTCTACATTTTTGAGAAGTCTTCAGGTCTCACTAGGATATTCTGGGGCAGGAGGGTTGTTTTTTGATGAAATGCAAAATTATTGATCAGGTCCAAGACTCTTCCTGGTACAGCACGTCAGAATTCTGGCTCTTTCCATATGGAATTACCCTTGAGGGAAGACGTGTACCAAAAGTCCGTTAAATAGGTCTTGGTTGAGTGAATAGCCTGCAGGAGATGAGACATAACTGTCATCTGTGCTGCCAAAGCTGCAATCTCCTTTTGGAGAAGAAGAACCAGTCTGGATTGCTCTCTCCCCCATCAACTATTTAGCTTTGAGTCCAATTAAATACAAGCTCTCCTATCTAACAGGGTGCTGGGCACTAATAACATCCACACTGCTCCAGAGGGGGAAACTGAGGCAAGGAGGGCAAATGACTAACCTGAGACACTGGTTCACCCAGGATTAGGACTCAATATATAATTGCTTTTATTACTCTGCTGCCTGCAGGCCTGAGACAAAGGAGGCCCATTAAGTGCAGGGCTTTTTACATGGTGAGGAGCAATCCCTGCCCTGCAGACCTTGCTGCCTGCAGTAGGGTGAGGGTGGAGGGGGAGGAGAGGTGCCTTGCCCAAGGACACAGCAAGTCGCTGACAGAGTGAGGGAGGGAACCACCTCTCCCTTCTCTCTGCAGCCTATCCCAGCTTCCAAAATGAAGTTTTCTGTGCTGTTCCCCCGACCAGACCTTCACAGCACAGCTCCTAGCAGCAAGCGGATCCATCTCCGGAAGGTCCCATGTGCCTCACTGAAGATCCCAGAGCACCAGCATCACCTTGAGTGTTTAATAAAACCCCCAGAAATTATTAGCTTCTTCTAGTGAAATAGAAACCTAAGGGAAAGCTGCAGTGGGCAGATTAAATTTCTCTAATTCCATTCTGAAGTACAGCTGAGAATGTGAAGTTTTTGGGCACATGAAAGACACGTCATCTTTGCAAAGGGACCATCCTGTTTTCTTCTGTGAAAGGCTGAAGTGAGTGCTAAAGCTGGATGTTAAATGTTAACTTATCCAAAGTTGCCAGGAGAGCTCAGCAGATAGGTTGTGCCCTTCCCTTTCAGGTCTTTGGAGGAGTGTTGTGCTACTCAAAGCTTCAGTAGGGCTGCTGGGATTCCCAGTATTGAGAAAGCTTTTTGTTATGGATCTTGTGGTTGGTGCTCTGACTCAGGGAGCCTTTGCTTCGTGGCTGATAAGAAGAGGAATAGCAGTTGGAAAGATGAGAGAAGTTGTGAGCAGAGTAGCTGAACTACTGACAAATAGGTGAGCTTGGTCCCTCTGGGTTGGACTGGAGCTACAGGATGTTGAGGGACATGAGCTGCTTGGAGCTTTGGATGAGAGAAGGAGCCTGAGTCCCTTCTGCTGTGTCAGCAGCTAACAGCAGAACCAGGTGCCTTTATTGCTGCATGTTCTTGGCTGAGCCCAGAGCTGCTGGGAATGAGCACCACAAACCTTTGTGATGCTGCTTGCCCTGAGACGAGCACAGTTAGTGCCCTTGGGACACACACAGGGGTGAGGCTGTGAACCCAGTGTACCTGACTGAATCCCACTTGTCTGCTGCCCTGTCACTCTGGCCAGTGCCGTGTTCTTCCAAGGATTAAAAACATGTGGCAGTTGTGTAACTTTCTCCAGAATACTTTCCCAGCTTCCAAGCGTTAGTAGTTCAGAATTTTAAAAATCAGATATGCTTGTTTTGATGGATTTTTCTCAAGCAGAATTTGTCTCCTGCCTTTTTGAAATTAGGCTTTTAGTATTGTGATATTTTTTTTGGCAAAAAAATCCATGTTTATTGGTGGGTTTTGTGAAGCATAAGTCTTTTGTGAAGAATAACTGTGTGTCTAAGCCAAAATTCTGCTCAAAATGTTTGCTTGTTCCCCAATTCCTCTTTTAAGAGAACATGAAAATTAATTTTGTGTTTGCTCTTTTTCCATGTCGTCTAGGAATTTATCACCTTCAATCATGCTGAGTTCCACCTTTCTTCTCAAAGTCTTTTTTCCAGGCTGAAAAGTTGTCATCGACTGTCACATTACATGATGACATTAAAAGGATTTGCTTATTCTTGTCACCTTCCTCTAAACTGTGTTCCCCTCTCTTTGAGGTGTGGGACCATGGCTACACATTGAATTTAGGTATTAGATTTATTTTTTTCTGTTGACCTCTCTTTAATCCAACCTTTGCCCTTTCTGTACTCTGCTCTCAGAGGTTTGTAGTTTTGATGTCTTCCAGTTGTTTCATATATTGTTTGTACTTGAAGGCTTTTAAAGTGCTAAGTAGCACTTAAGCATAGGTAGTTAACTACTAGCAGTTGACTTTACAACTGATACTTCTTAAGAGAAGAAGCCTTCCATGCTGTCTGTTTCCATTCTACTTGATGAGAACTTTAATTCTCCACCACCATCTGTGACTGGTCACTGGGAGTTGAAGGCGAGGTGCAGACAGTGGCACCTGACCTTTTTTCCAGTGAGCACAGTTACCACCTGAGTTAGAGGTCCTGGAGTCATCCTCTGTAGTGGGATCAGATCCACAGCCTTTGTGTAGAGCATCAGACTGTTGAAGATGGTGTAGCCTTGTACAAGATAGAGCCAGTTGCACTGTAGTGAACCTGCTGAAACCTCATAAAAGCCAGCAGTACCTTTGGAAAGGTCTGATTGTGTTGCTAGACATAGCGAGCCTGTCGTTCTTGATGGCTTTCTGCCCTACAAATCACCTCCTGGTTATGCACAGGCTGTTTCTCACCTCTGCTGTTGATCCAGTGTGTGACTGAGAAGCTATGCTCCTTTCTGTTTCAGTCACCAGTGTAAAGAGGGGGATATCCTTTGCAAATCTCCCTCCTGGTGTGACAGGAGCAGTGATGCTGAGATGATGCTGTGCATCCTCCATGGTGGAGGCTGTGCCATGTCTGGCCAGCCTGTGCTGATGCAGCTCCTCTAACGCTCCTGTGCATCTCTTTGCCTGCAGCCACAGTACACGAACCTGGGGCTCCTGAACAGCATGGACCAGCAGATCCAGAATGGCTCTTCCTCCACCAGCCCTTACAACACGGAGCACGCGCAGAACAGCGTCACGGCCCCCTCGCCCTACGCCCAGCCCAGCTCGACTTTTGACGCCCTCTCTCCCTCCCCAGCCATCCCTTCCAACACAGACTACCCAGGACCTCACAGCTTTGATGTATCATTTCAACAGTCCAGCACAGCCAAGTCAGCAACATGGACGGTAAGGACAGAGCATCCCTTCGCTGCCTTTGGTCCCCCTGCCCGTAGTGACTTTATCCTGTAATACATACCCAGGCTTGTGCAAGAACAAAGTGACCCGAGTCCTCTGCAGGGCGTGATGTGTCACACAGAAGGGAGACATTTATCTTGGTTGCTCTGAGAGGGTGTGGTGGGAATTTAACCCTCAGTAATACCACTAAATCCCAGGAGACTAAAATGCCTTGCAAAAACCAGTCACGTAGAGATCATGCATGATGAACGAGTGGCTCTTTTTTGGGCCTAGCAGGAGCACTGGAGTAAAACCTGAGGTGGGCATTAGCATTGACTCAGTGCTTCCCTTGGCTTTCTCCAACATCCGTGGGTTTCTGTGAGGTTTGGCATGCAGGGCCATGCAGGTGCAGGTGGTGCTCCTTGCTCAGGCCCATGGAGTGTGAGGCTGTCATTTTCTGTGTCCTTCTCCTCTTGCAGCTGGTATGGGAACCCCAGCGTGTCACCAGCTGGGGTCAGCCCTGTGTGTTCGTTGGGGTTTTGTTGAAGGGGATGGGGTTGTTTTATTGTAGAGTTTTGTTGTTGGTTTGGTGTTTTGGGGTTTTTTGTTTGACACTTTGCTCTCAGAACATTTCTTTTCTTAACCAAAAAAAAAGGCAGAAGCTTGAAGCCTGAAGCCCAGCTCTTGATCTTTGGTGGCACTGGCTTGATTGTTCAATCTCTGGAGACTTCATAGCTCAGGACACAGCACTGCTGGAGCTGTAAGGCCAGCTGTTTTGGTTTGGGGCTCTAGAGTTGAGATTTTTACAGTGAAGAATATTGTTATCTTAAAGATGTTCAATATTTGCCTTCCTCTCCTGCTGGCACTTGCAGTAGATGCAGTGAATAGTGTCCTGCCCTACGCTACCTGAATAAAAGCAAGGACTTAATTTTTTTTTTTTTAAGCAAAAAAAGCGAGACTTTATACCAAAAGCTAAGAGCATTAAAATAGTGTGGGGTTTTTTTTATTTTTCTTTTTAATCTGAGGAACTGCTTTGATCTCAGATACAATCTAGCTGCAAATGCAACTAAAAAGACCCTCCCAGCTACTGCTGCCAGCAAAGCAGCACAGCCCTTGTGCTCTCATCTGGACAAAGATGCCATACAACCACAGATCACTATAAGGTTATGTCCCTTATATTTTAAAAGCCTTTTCTGGTAAAATTTGTCGAGAACTGACATTAATAACTTTGTTCAGAAAATTGTGTTAAGTGGGGTAAAAATGTGATAGGTCCAGTCACAACCAGATTTTCATTTGTTTATGCTTAAAGGGGTGAGGTATTTCTTCTAAGTTAGGTTGAAATTGCATTTTTTAGTCATCAGCCTGTGGAGTGATGCTCTTCTGTACTTCGCACTTGTTTTATGCCCTTATTTCTCCTATTGCACTACACACAATATTTATTTTCAATTCCCTTTAGGTAAGGAAACTCTTGGTCAGTTCTACTTTGCATTTCTCAGGGCAAGAAAATGCTGGCTTGGATTTTTGCTAGCTGTTCTGGGGAGGGTCCTTTGAAGGAGATATGAAAAGACATTCTCTTTTGATACGTATGGTACAAAGAATTATCTAACGCAGCTGCAAGAAGCCAGAGTGTTTGATGCTGTCCTTTCAACTACAAAAAGCAGCCTTTTGAAATGAGGTTTGAACCTATGTAGTAGGTTGCTCCAGCAGAGATGAAGGCAAGAGAGCTACTTGCAAGCCTAAATGAGATGTTTCACCTCAGTGATAGTGGCTTTTTGGGGTAGAAGTGAGGGCTGAATTTCAGTGTGGATCTAGGTAGTGGTCAAAGCTCAGATTACATGCTGACTTTGAAAAAGAAATTAAATTACTGTTTGGTGATTGCAGTCATCAGATGTGTGCAGCCTGGGGAAAGGCTCATTTAGCCTTCCCTACTTTTTCATTGCCCTGATGTGGACCAGCAGATGAAGGCGTATTCCCCATGCAGGTTGCAAGTCTGTTCAGGTCTAAGTCCATGTATTTTACTAAAGGAATGGGCTCTTAAATAGCTGTCTGATTAGGGGGGAGGGAGTGTGGTCCAGGTGTCCCTGCACTGAGCCAAGTGACCCAGATTTAGCTGCTCGTGCAGGAGCTGGCAGTGAGCTGTACATTCACAGTGGATTATGACAGTCCTGTGGTGCTGGCTGGGGACCTTCAATCAATACACCTTGTGAAGCAGAGCATCTATCCATCTTCAGAGCTCTGCCCTTCTGCTAATTAATCCACCAACTCATTTCACATGAGCTCTTGAGCAGCTGGTAATCTGCGTTCGACAGCTTTATCAGTGGGGTGGGTGGGGAAGGACGTGAAGGCTCTGCTTCCCACTGTCGTCCTGAGAAGTGTGGAAACACGCATGAAATGTTGATGAAAGCAGGAGTGATTGCCCCATCCTCTCAGCAAGAGCAAGTTCTTGGAGTTGCTCCCCCCCATGTGACTTCATACACTTTGATTAATGCCTGTCGTCTTTTTTAATGATGGATTAGGAACTTACCCAACTGGAAGAGTTTCTTCCACTGCAGTGACCTATTAAAAGTGTAATTACTTGATGGCCACACCCTTATTAAGAGTCCAGAACTTGAAAGCCTTGTTTCTTACTTTGTTGGGTTTAGTTTTCTCTTTTTTTTCCCCATTTTCCCTCTTGCAGTTCTCCGGATAACAATATTAAGTAAGGAAATCCATTGTGTTGCACTTTCCCCCTTTATGGAGGGGATGAGCCAGTCTGACCCACCTTGTCCTTCTGGGAAGGGGTTGGTGGTGCCTGGCAGAGGATCTGCTGTCCTGGCTGGCAGTGTGCTTCACCAGAGCTCCTCTGATCTTCTGGGCTGAGTCATGTCAGATTAGGTCATGGGAGTGAAGGCAGTGAGCTGGGGAAGAGGAATGGATTATTTCTCCAGAAAGCAAGAGCTGCTTTCATAGAGTGATTGGAGACCTGTGAAGGTGCTTCAGGTTTCTAAGCCACTTTGTGCATTTAGATCCCAAGGTTACTTCTGTTGGAGGTGGGGGAAAGTAGAGAGCATACTTGCTGGTTATTTATTTGCTATGTTTCTGAAAACAGACCTGGAATAATTTTTTTTCTTAAAACTTTTTGGTGTTGTTTTTTCTCCTCCAAATTCTGCAGAGGGGGAGTTTTATTGTCCTAGGACAATGGACACTTTGTAAAATCAGCACTATTTGTGTAATATAGGCTGGGAGGAGGATGAGTGTGACAGCTTCTCTGCTCAGGGTTATGATGGGCTCCTAATTAATGGCGGGAGGGGGTGGGGAGGAAGAAAAAAAGGCCAAAATTACAAAGAGAAACACTAGCTGATGCTAGGTGACAGGGTGATTCCATATGTATGAGCAGTTCACTTTGAAAATATTGCTGATTTTCTCTCTGAAGTCTTTCATGACCGTCAGTAGGAATTCCAGTAAAACATGCTGTCTAATCAGGTTAGGTCTCATTTGTATGCAATGTTGATCTAATTAATGATGACAAATTGAGATTGGATTGCAGAGGACTTTATAAGCATCCTTGATTATTTTTTTAATTAATGACCTCAGAACGTGAGTAAGGATATAAGCAGGTTAATCAACCTTTTCAGAAGGAAAATCTTTAACAATTGAAACTATTGAAGTGTTTGAAAACAAAAGCCTTTATAGTCTAAATTGAACAAAGTTTCTCTCGTGCACCCTCATACAATAAAACCTTCTTGAAAACCATGCTGCAAAGGAACAAGTACTTACTGTTTGTAATGATGAGACAGAGTAGGTTGCTGAGGTTAGGGAGAAGCCCTCTGAATTGGGTGAAGTAAGAACTTAAGCAGAATAGTGTCTCATTTATTGTGGGAGAATTCCCATATGCCCATGCATTGCAATATCTTCTCTTGTTTCTGCAGCAGAAGAAAACAAGGCACTTCAAAAGTGTGCCACCTCCGATTTTTTTGCTTTGTGGAAGTTGCGTGCCGACCTTCACCACCTGGAGCTCAAATAAATAAACAGCTGCACTCCCTTTTCCCCCCTAAAAAATATTTGGCAATCACCTGCCACTAGCAGAACCTGTTAAATGGGGGAAAGCATGATTGCAGTAGGAAAGTAAAAATTAGAGTTGTATGTCAAGGTAAGTAAAAGTTAACGTTACTGCCAAATGCAAGCTATCAAAAAATGAATCTGATCCGCCCATCCCCAAAAGCAAGATACCACCTTATAAAGTCATGAGACTCTTTTAAAAGACAAACAGGTTCTTCTTATTCTTTCCCAGGTTTTTGAGCCTTTAGGGTGAATCTACTAAATATTTTAAAACTTTTCTTGATAATCACAAGAAATTGCTTTAAGGTTTTAAATGAAAACTGAAATTTATTTGCAAATTTTTGATTCTGCTGAAGAAAGACACCAAGCCCTGTGAGACTTGCATAATTCAGGTGTTGGCAATACCTGAGTTTAGCAGTTTATTCTCATGCCCTGCAGTAGGTTGGAGCTGAGCTGGGTTGGTCCTTTCAGGGTTTGTTATGAAACATGGAGCTCTCCAAAGCTGCAATCTGTGTTCCAGGCAGGCTCACTGGTTTTCCTGTTCTCAGTAAACTCGGCTGTACCTTCAACCATCAGAAAATGCTCAGATTTCAGACTCTCTTTGCTAGCGAAGCTGGATAATAGTGTGTGTGACATGCATGAAAGCAACTAAGTGGATTGTTCTGGCTGGGGTTAGTGAATTTGGAAAAGCTGCATTTTAAGGAAGCTGAAAAGAATGCACTTAAATTAGTCCACACAAGCAATAACAGGTTTTTGTGGTTGAGAGAACGGATTCCTTGGCTGGGCTATCTCAGTATTTCTATTTCAGATTGACTCATTCCATTTTTATTTTAAATACATTCTGTGTTCTGATCCACGTAGTAAATTTGGGACATTTTTTGCCAGTCTCTATAAAATGAATTAGAGGACTGTGCATAAGCATAGTGAAGCAGTGAGAGGGCAATTAGATGTGTACATTGCCTTGACTCAACAGT